ACTAAGTAGTATCTTAACGCTCAAGTAATTCTCTGTGGTCACATGAGAGAGGCCTTTGTAGCATGTTGAGGTTGGTTTAATCTTGAAATCACTGCGAATGGAGAAAAAGGCTCTGGACACAAATAAGGGGCCTGGTTTCAAGAATCTCCTTAGAAGTCGGGGAGAAAGGGGAGCCTATAATTAGGGTTTGTGTGTTCCCGCTTTGGGGGTGATGTCATCCCCGGCGCTCTGTGCCAGGAATCTGAGCTCACCACCCTTCAATAATTCAATAGGGGCTTGCCTGGGAACTTCTCATCTCGGGGATTAGTGACCAACAGATCTACTTTGTGGGTACCTGCGTTTGGCTGAGGGGAGAAAGAGAAATCGAAATGACCTTGTAAGTGGGAGTCATGTGAAAGAATGCAGCCCTCTGGTGCTCCCACTAGAATCTTACGGATGGGACCTTAATACTTTGTCAGCCCCTCCCTGTTCCGCTTCCCGCCATTTTCCGGCTGAGAAACTGAAGCTCAGAAGGAGGAAGACGCAAAGCTGGCTATTCCCGCGCCGGGACGATACCTGGTTGCCTGAGCCCCATTTCAGCGCTTTGTTTTCTCTGTCACCCTGTGCCCCAACCTCATCAACTTCCAAGCTTCCACCAGCATGGATGCTCAGAGCCTCACCCACCTGGATGCCACCTGAGTCATTCCCAGGGGCCCAGGGACCCCGGTTCAAGTTACAGGAGCTTCCAGACTGCACAGACCCTGAGGGGAAACGAATGTCCTGCCGGAGACTCTTTCTGCTGAGGGCGTCATTGTGCAGAGACGCTGCAGCACAACCAGCAAAACCGGTTCTGGGAGGAAGAAGTCTGCAGTAGTTCTGCCAGAACCGTGCTGCCCTTGAGACTGGCGATCTGCAGTTAATCCCGTAACCTCATTTTCTTTTTTAACACCTTTATTGGAATATAATTGCTTTACAATGGTGTCTTAGTTTCTGCTGTATAACAAAGTGAATCAGCTATACATATACATATATCCCCATATCTCCTCCCTCTTGCGTCTCCCTCCCTCCCACCCTCCCTATCCCACCCCTCTAGGTGGTCACAAAGCACCGAGCTGATCTCCCTATGCTATGCGGCTGCTTCCCACTAGCTATCTATTTGACATTTGGTAGTGTATATATGTCCATGCCACTCTCTCACTTCGTCCCAGCTTCCCCTTCCCCCTCCCCGTATCCTCAAGTCCATTCTCTACGTCTGCATCTTTATTCCTGTCCTGCCCCTAGGTTCTATTAACACCTTCCCTGGCCAAACTTTTCCTGTAATTAAATTAAACTAAATGATTAGAGTTTCACATTCTTTCCTTTCTTCTGTTCCTGCTAAACGAGAGGTAAGAATAGAATATAGGTCAGCGGCAAAAGAAAAGAGTAGTGTCCTGGAAAAATCCATAAATTTTGTCATCAGGCCTTGATGGTGCATACGTGGGAAGACTAACAAATACGGGACTGTTTTATTTTTTTAATAAATGCACCAAAACCAAATATCCAAATAGAAGCTATCTTGGGAAGACACACAGATCTCTCAACTGATACTGCCATGGCTCAAAGTATATTCGTAGTGTCTCTCGGGATATTACCCACTTCAAAGCTGGTCTTGTGCCAAAAACTATACATTATTTTTACCCCTGAAGTGATATTATCCAACTTGTTGGTACACACTCACATTTGGACCCAAGTGGTTTCTGATTTTTTAGAAAATATCCTCAAAGATCAAGATTTACAACCTTTCTTTCAAACAAAGAAAGGCACAGCAGCTCTCCGTAACGGCACCAACACAAGTCAGCCTCTGTGTGGCCCGTTGCCAAAGGAACCCGGGGAGGTTGGTGGGGTTCTTGACTGGCCCATTCCTCTCAGCCACAGGGCGTCAACCTCCCTTGTGTCACTGCTTTCCCCAACACCGAGAGCCAGTAAAGATGTAAACGGCATATTCAGTTGTCTGAGGGGGTGCGACTGGGGCGTGAAACTTCAAGTGTCCATGAGGACCAGGCAAGGAAAGTTCCACGATGGAGAAGGCTAGAGAAAGCATTAAAGAGAACAGCTGGTACCTCACAAGAGCTACTCGTGGGCTTGCAAACACTCGGGCTTATGTTGCCAGAATCTCTAATTACCCAAAAGAATCTGGAAACTTAGGTTTTTGTTTTGTTTGTTTCTTGAATCTCCTGATTATTAAATGTGGGCAAAATATTTTAAAACTTGGAATATAAGTACATAAATGCATGATACACACGTACATATACGTTCTGTGGAATATATAAGGCTGCGGGTCACAAATTTGTGTCCTCTGACCACATGAACTAAAACAACATGTGACACTGAATGAATGTCATGATCCTAAAGCCTGCAACAGGTTCCTGTGTGGATGTTACCAAGAGGAACTCGAAGTCAAATGCTACTGCTCCCGAGAATAAGTTCACAGTATGAAAATCACAAACAGTCCCACCGTGAGAGGATTTTATGCCCTGCTTTGTTGAAAACCTTTTTCCCAATCATGTAATTTTGGGTTTTTTTGCAGCCTGCTTATTATAAAATCAATGATATGTTTTTTGTGGGGTTTTTTGCGGTATGCGGGCCTCTCACTGTTGTGGCCTCTTCCGTTGTGGAGCACAGGCTCCGGACTCGCAGGCTCAGCGGCCATGGCTCACGGGCCCAGCCGGTCCGCGGCATGTGGGATCTTCCCGGACCGGGGCACGAACCCGTGTCCCCTGCATCAGCAGGCGGACTCTCAACCACTGCGCCACCAGGGAAGCCCAAAATCAATGATATTTTAAAGAAAAACCTTACATCCTGCAGGTTGAAAAAAAAAATCTTCTCAGCCTACCTAATGAAATGGATTTAACTTTTATGGTTTTTCTTTAAAAGCTCTTCCAGTAGTTTGGCAGAAGTATTTGGAGCTATTTTTATTACTCATCGATTAACCCGAACTGCATACAATTGCAACTACCAAATAATAGTTACTGAAAATATGTATTAAAGAAACAAGTTTTACTACAGCAAGCAAGCACTGCCATTTGTCAAAGCAGATGTGACCTTAAATGTGTCAGCCTGGAACAATACACGTGCACAAACATACATATTTCAACAAGAAAAGTGAGCCTTACCTATGGGAAATGCAAGAAAAGTCAACTCAACCCCCAATTAACTACCCCACTGGTTGACCATAGAGCCGCCATCATTCAAGATGTCCCTTCAGGTTTAGGCATTTTCTTTAAAAGGTCCTTATTGACTGGTAACAGTTAACACATTCACCTTCTAGCACGTGTTATCAGATTGCACGATAAGGAAATTTAGGGCTGCAGTTACAGCTCACTTTACAGCTTGCTTTACCTTGACAAGGCACTTCCAAGTATAGGATCCCATTGTCTTCCCAATGGATGGCTCTGCTTGGGCCTGCCTCTCACTCCTCACACACACTGCTGTCCAGCTAATGATTCCCTTACCTCCCTCAGAGACTGGATTTTCACACATCGTGCTCCCAGCACATGCTTGCTACAGCAGGGACAATCGGAAAAGTTTGTTTTGTTTTGTTTTGTTTTGCTTTACATGAGCGAACTGAGGCCCAGAGAGGTCAGCTGACTTGCCAGGATTCCAACCCTGATACCATGGCACACACTGCCTTTTCCTTACCCAGCCCAGTAATCTAGCCTCTGGGAGAAGAGAAGCGGGCACGAGGAGAAAGCCTGGGGCTTGGGTGAGGAACTTTAAACGGAGGTGGAGTGGGGCCTCGAGGAGAAGCTTTTCCTGCACTTCTGTGCCCATCACATCACAAGGCCTCCTGCCTTCCCTCAGATGCACTGACCCACTGGAACATTCTCCCAGCTACTATGGAGCTCTGTTTCTGCTTGCCCATTTAGGTCACCTTTCTTGGGCCTAAAGCCCATTTCATTTACTTTGTTTTATACCTGAGTGAAATGAGACACTGAGCAATTCATCTTCTTCTCTAAGTCATGCCCACAAACTCCCATCCAGTTTCCTTTCTCACCTGGCCTTCCCCTGCTTACAGACAATGAAGCATTGAAAGTAGTTGTTTACATTGACCTTTTCATTAATTCCAAGACAAAGTCTTCTAACGCCCTCCTAGATGGTACATAACCGAAGCAGAAAACAAGCTTAGGGTTCACCTGGAACCTTCCCTTTGGTGCAAAATAAGGATCGAGAATCAGAAGGTACAGAACACAGGAAGAAGAGTGGGCATAGCAGCAAAGTTCAGTTCTCATAAACTCAGAGACTCATGGTTGGAAAGCAAATCTGAGTATCATCAAGTCTCACTTTTTTACCCGAATCCATGCAACGGTGGACATCTATCCTCAGGATGCACCTGGCCAGAGATTTTACTGTTGCCCTTCTTAACCATGCTGGCACCAGACAGAAATAAGAAAAGCTTAAGCTTGAGGTTAACAGGAAAGAAATGGCTCAAGGTCACGGTGGTGGCTCTTCCTCAGGGAGTCAAGTTCAGAGACCTGCAGCCCTGCTTCCTGCACCCTCCTTTGACCAGATGAAGCCTCAAAGGGGCCGGGGGTCGGGAGGCTTGCCCAGCTGCTTACCTGTGCAGACAGTAGCTCTGAGCACCTTCCTGCCTCTGAAGAAGGCAGCAGTTGGAGAGGTGTTTGGGGAAACTGCAGTGCAGGTAGAAAAGATTTCCCTGGCCCAATCCTGTCAGCCCCAAGTGCTAAAATGGAGCTTGGGGGCCTGGAGGATCTGGGAGGGACAAGGGGCCTGGCCCGTTCAGCGGGAGGCCACAGGGGAATAGGTACACCCCCCTTTCTCCTTGCTCCACAAAAGGCAATTTAGCTGCACGTAATTGAATGTGTGTGACTCAAGAGAAAGATCATAGGTTCATTTCCCTTTTTTCTGGCTCAAGTTAACAGATCTTTCCCTACTCAGAGGCTTTTGTAAAAGAATCCTCTGCAGAGAAAGGACACGGTATTTAAAAGGTACGACCAATGAATCAGTGCTACTTTTACACTCACCTTAGCTTCTTCATTCACGTCCCAGGTGAAGGAGACAGCGTTATATGCAATCTCTTCAATGTTGCCAATCGTATTAAAGCTCTCCTTGTAATCAGCTGTGACATGAAAAAAGAAAAAGGTATTAAAAGAATCAGCGTTACTGGGCGACATGTATTGAATTATCATTTTTCCAGTGGGGAAATGGCAACTTTGCCTATTCTTCTGTCTGTCTCCATGGCAACAGTTAAGGATTTGTGCTTGCTGATAATCTTTTACTAATATTTACTCTATAAGAATGTAAGCATGTTCCTCTATTAAAAGAGTAAACCTAGGTGAAGCAATGTTCCTAACTGATTTGTTCATTAGTTTCCTTTTTAACTCGGTTTATAAATTTCTTCCTCCTGACAAGGTTCCAGATGAACCACCTGCCTAGTCCCTCTCCTACTCACTTTTCTGCCACTGAATTTTGCCGGCAGTGCCAGAGTATTCCATAGGGATCGTTTCATAGGACAGAATATTCTCTTTATCAGCCAGGCAGGGTCTCCGGGGCTTCAGTGAAGAAATCCAAGAGTGCAGAAAAACTTATTTTTTACTTCTTTTTGGATTCAGGTACAGAGAATTGAGTCAATCGTACTCAGCTCATTACCACCACCTGTCCCCTCAAGGCCCTCTCTTATTTCTTTATTTATGTAATATTTATTTATTCCTTTTTATTGTCTCTATCCCCCACCCCCAGACACAATAGCTATCAACATGTTTGCTCTGTATCCTTATGAAATAAGTTGGGTTGATTTGCCTGTGTACATAGTTTTCATTTTCACAAATTGTGCCGTGCTGTGACTAGGTGACCAGATTTAGCAAATATTTGGATCATACTCTAAAAAAGTATTTGTTGTTTAACAGAAATTCAAATTTAACTGGGCACCCTGTATTTTATCTGGCAACCCTCGCTATGGGCCTTTTCAGACGTATCCACGTTGCTGGTTGTAAGCCTAAATCCTAGCTGTGGCTGCATAGAATTTAGTGGTGACCACCAACTACAATTTACTTATCCCCTCTCCCCAGAGATGGACCCTTCAGTGGTCTCCAGCTCTCTGGTACCACAGACAACACTGTGATATCCCTCTGTCTCCACTGTCACTGCCTTAGCTGGTCTTCAGGTCTAGACACGACGTTCCTAGTAGCTTAATCCTCGCTACTTCCTGAGGTTTTTAGCTTATGCTTACCATCTAGATTTTTCCCCTACTCTTGGCCTCCTTGGATATGACATCCTACCTTCACTCCATCCCTTGGGTACTAAGTAAACACTGGCCATGTCCTGCTTGGCTGGCATGACGGTAAGGCCCATCTGCTTTTCTTTGAGGTCTGGTTCACTCACAACTTGATCACCTGATCACATATGTTCTTTCTTTCTAAACTTCCATAACTATTTCTCTAAAATGAAAACTCTAATCACGTGCTTTTAATAATTTTTTTCAGGCTAAAACTTACCCCATGACCCATCAGACACTTCACAATTAGACCCTGCACACTTCTCTTGGAGTCATCACACTCCAGCCCCACGATGGGGGCCGGAGGAGGGTTCAATACTAATGATATTGGAGGTCTTTTTGTTTACAAAATCTTTTTGAATATGTTTCTCTCTGAGTTAGGATGAGTTATTATGATTGACTTCCAGTATAAAGTATAAAGTGTTCATTGTCTACAAAATTTGACATGTTTCTGGCCAAATGGGCATTTCCTCATCCTGTGTTCTAAGTGGCCCCATCACTCCAGGGCTGGTGGTTTCTTGAGGCTTCAGCAAGTTTTCTATGTTAATGCTGTAAGATTTTGAAGTCTGCTTTCCTAAAATTCACACATCTGATCATTTTTAGATCATTTCCTCCTCATTTATCACAAAATCTAAATTCATGTGATCCTTTACCAAGATTTTAACTACCTTCTCTTACTAATATAACTCATTTTGTTCGTGTGAATTAGGTTGGGAGAAGCAGGACTCCTATTTGATTTTTCTATCCATAACACAAATAATAATAAAACAAAGGCCATACGAATAATATCAATAAGTTTAGGGGAATTCCCTGGCGGTCCAGTGGTTGGGACTCAGCACTTTCACTGCTGGGGCCCCGGTGGATCCCTGGTTGAGGAACCAAGATCATGTAAGCCGTGTGGCATGGCCAATAATAATAATAAATAAAATAATAATAATAAGTTCATAATAATCCATAATAAAACAAAGTCAGTTTGATTTTGTGTTTTTAAAATAACTCCTTATTACTGGGACCTGGATTGCTGGTTAAATTCAGAAAAACCTACTGAGATGTGCTCTCCAGAATGGCCCTCAGACTCACTTCCTATAATGGGTCATGTCAATCTATACTCTGACCAGAATTCTATTTCCCCTCTTTCTCACCAAATTTCTACTTTTGTGGCCAATCCAGTGGGTACAAAGTGGTATGTTAATGATATTATAGTTGCATTTCTTCTATCACCTATGAGTTCAAGCATCTCTTCACATCCAGGATAGCCAACGAGGCGTCTCCTTATACAAACTGCCTATTCATGCCCTTTGTCTATAATTTTATTGGTTTCCTCAGGGAAACTTTAAAGCAAAACTATAGATCTTTACATTTTAAATAAAGCACACACACTTTGACATAGAAGCTTGTGTGTTCACCATAGGAAAGTCGTATACCATGAACAAATAAGAAAAATATTTAAAAGCAGGCACAATCTACTCACCCACTACAAACACATCTGTGTAGACTTCATTTTTCCTATCTCAGTCTCTGTCTCCCTTTCTCGAAAATACGTAAATATTTTTACACAACACTGTAACAATTATTTTTTAATTTGCTTCTTTTCCCTTTAATACATCTTCAGCATCTTTCCATGTCACTAAATAAAATTGTGGAAAATAGTTTTAATGTCCAAATACTATTATCTTGGGTTGAAATAAAATGCTATAACTTTATTTTGCTCCTATTGGACCCTTAAATGATGTATAATACTTTGCTACCTTAAATAGCACTTCATCTAATTATCTTTATGGCAAAATAGTCATATATACTTCATTAGTTCATTAACATATATTCTCAGAAGTGAAATTAATAGGTCAAAGGCAAATATATTTTTGAGGCTTCTAATTCACTTTGTCACATTGCTCCTAGAAAGGTTAAAACAGTCTATATTCACAATAACAGTGTGTGACTTCCTGTTTCCTCAAACTGTCTCTTTCCAAGTTGGTATGCAAAGCATGCTAACATTATTTTATTTGCAATTCCTTGATTGCTAAAGAATAGAACAGTCTTCTATTTGCTTTCTGGCTCTTTGTGTTTCTTTATATTCTTTCTCTTTGTTTTTAAAATTTATTCATTTATTGTAACAGTTTATTGTTCTGTCTTTTGCTCATTTTTCTCTTAGGGAATTCAAATTTTCTTATCGATTTAAAGTAAATATTTAAAGCTAAGCGATAAAACAGAAAGCAAAGGAAAACGATTTTATATCCTACAAGTTTAAAAAAAGGCTTTATGACTATATTTCAGATGATTTTAAATGCAAAACTGTGCTTTCAGCAGGCCAGCCAGTTTCTTAAAATTTTGAAAAGAAAATAGATCACTGAACTTAAAGGAACTGAGTTCCCTGATTCTTCATAGCTATTTGCTTTAAAAGATAATCTTACAATTTTGTTTTGCAATTTTTAATAAGCATTTTTAAAATCATAAATCAATCTAAATTTAAAAAGCAAATGCCATATCTAGCAATAAAGAGAAATCAAAATGGTTTGGTCAAACACTTAACCTAGATCTTTTTAAGTTTTTATTTTTCCACACCTTCTCTACCTGAAAAATTCCTCCCCTGAAAAAATGTTAGCTTAGAAAAGTAAAGAATTTTAAAAACAAATGCAATAAAAACACAAATAAATGCTTTCTGGGTCTTGCACAGGGTCTCTGTCAGTTTCTCTCTATCATGTTCACTTACTCAATCAACAAAGGTATTGAACAAATATTTACTGTGTGTTCCCTATATACTGGGCAGCATCTTCACGCTTAAGAAACAGCAGAAAATAAGACTAGGTCCCTGATCTAACGGCGCTTACAGTTCAGAAGGAGACAGAATACAAATAATTAGACAAATAAATAAATGAAAAACATACTACGTTTAATATGCTTTTTATGCCAAAAACAAAAAAAACAAGACTGGTCAGGCTACTTTTTATTGGGTGGCTACATTACCTTGCTTATTTCCTTCATACTACATATCAATGTTTTATTTATTTGTTTATTTATTTAACACTGCCATTTCCCATTAGCTATACATGCTATGTAAAGGCAAGGAACTTAAATACTGCTACTTTCTCAGTGTTTAACATTATCCAGATAAGATGCATTCCATAAATTTGTTGAGTAAATGAATGAATAATGGATCCATGAGCAGTCTAAACAAAAATATAACTAAGAGACTAATGTCACACACTCCTCTTTAACCTTATAAAAGACATATCTGTTCTTCTCTACCCCTTTGTTTTTAGTCTCTAAGCCACTCACCTATAGATGGTGAAACAGCTCTGCTATCATGTGGTGACTGTCAAAGTTTTGTACACGACTTACACACGTTGATATTGCTTTGTCCACATGCATTTTAGTCCAATAAACAAAATGCTAATAGATGTGTCTCCTGTTTCTGAAAACTGTCTTAATGTCCTTTGATAACTGTTGCTTGCTTAAGGGTTCATGACCCTTGGTGTAGGAATAAAACCTCCACAACCTGTCGTTAATTCTTCCTGAATTTATTTCCTCAAGGAAGTTTCTCAAACCCAAATTTTGTAAATACTGATAGCTGCAACCAGTAAAAGGTATTGTAGGACTTCCTCAGTGGTGCAGTGGTAAGAATCCACCTGCCAATGCAGGGGACACGGGTTTGAGCCCTGGTCCAGGAAGATCCCACATGCTGCGCAGCAACTAAGCCCGTGCGCCACAACTACTGAGCCTGCGCTCTAGAGCCCACGAGCCACAACTACTGAGCTCGAGCACAACAACTACTGAAGCCCGCTCACCCTAGAGCCCGTGCGCTGCAACTACTGAGCCCACACGCCGCAACTACTGAAGCCCGTGTG